CTTTATCTTGAAATTCAAATTTTCAGCACGAAATTGTTTGTGTGAATCTCAAAAACTAAGAAATTTCTAGAATTCAAAATCGAGCGACCGAAACTAGATGAGTTATACACCATTCGATGCAGTTTTTTACGCTGATTCCGAATATGACCTTACTTTCAAGAAAAAGTGCTTTTGAAGGAGAATGCGAAATACTCGAAAATCTCCAGGGTTTTTGGAAAGCCTGTAACTCAGCACCCCTAGAGTTGGGAGACTTTGTGAGACCAGTATATGTAGAGGAGGTTGAGACGAACATTTTGAGCTATTTTTCATATGAATAGCTGCTCAGCGGAGTTTAGCGATTGCATTTTTATGAGGACGTCTTTTTTTTAGATGAGTTCCGTGGAAAGATCTTCGCGCGTTTCCCGAAATTTAACTTTATCCGACCAAAATTTTCTTACGACTAGATAGCCCAACAGATGACGATTCTATATATGTCATTGTTTTTGAAAAAAACGTATAATTTGACGGAGAAAATGCAATTTTACGCGCCAGCATACTAATTCTACTGATAATTTTGTAATTTAATTTTCTCAACTTTGGAAGAAGCTAGAGCCAAAAATTTTTCACCGTTAAATAGAATATTATTTATAGTATATATGTCATCATTCAAAATATAAAAATTCGAACCTGCGATTTTTCACCAAAATGCCGCCTAAATGCCCACTGTGTCCCATGAACACGGCACAAAGCAGTCGCATTCCCTTGAAAAAATCCTAGATACGCCACTGTTATGTAATCACAGGAACTAGAAGGGTTCTTATTACTCTTTCAAATGGGATGTGATAAATTATCTTTCGAGATAGTTTTCAATTAGAAATTTGTAAGTTTTCATTTATTTCAGAAAAAGAGTTGATTATATTTTTTCTCACTCAAACTCAATTGCAAATTCTATGTTTTCAATTATGTTTTCTATGTTCTTTGAAGTTCAGACTTTGCTCTTTTCAACGGAAAAATAATTAAATCGCCAACTCATAAGAAACACGCAGAAATAATGTTCGACATTTTTCCAAAGACTTGCATCGTATGTTACAAAATATATTACAAAAATTCCAGTTACAATTTTCATTTTGTTTCTTCAAGAAAATTCCTTGAAGGAAGACAACTTCCTTGACTTAGATAAATTGTGTAAAACCCGAGATTATATTTTTTCAAATTTTAGAAGACTATTCATTAAAAGCATATGCGACCTTAAATGCGTTACTATCTTGTAGAATACACAGTGTCTAACCGTTTCAAAAAGAAGCGTAAGCCTTTCTCAAAATGTAACATTTTTCTTACTCATTTTTATTCTTAAAGTTCTTTTTTGTTAATAACTGTGTTTACCAGTCTATTGTGAACCAACCCTTTTTGTAACAGCCCAAGGGCTTAACAATATATGGAAAGTCAAAAAAAAAAAACGAAGCATAGATATGCGTTTAGAGACGTAGATGCATTTGACTCAAACGACGAAATAACCAATATTTTGAAAAACGTGTCTGGATTTTGCCATTAGACGGATCTAATTATGTTTAAACATCTTGTTTTTTAGAATTTTACTCTTTTTTAAACGTATAACAGTCATCTTTAAGACAGATATCATGATTTTCACTAAGAAAATTATACGTAAAATGAACTTGAACAGATATAGTACTCTTCAAAAGTATCCTTCTCCTTTCAACTCAAGAATCATGATAGCTGACTTTTCATTTTGTGTGGTCATAGCTCTCACTGACGGCTGATCAGTCCACCAGTATCGCCTTTGCAAAATGGTTCGTGAGCAATATATTTATTTTTCGTAAAATACTGATAACTCTTGATCCAAGAGAGATAAAAAATTTTCTTTTTCTACCAGAATGTAGATCTGACTCTCCTCTATCTACGATATGAGTTTCATTTGTTGGCTCCTAATGGTTACTAAAATACAGCTATTTTACGATCAAGAATCAGGTGTTTTTCGAAAAAAAATTCATAACTTAGCCTCGGAATATTATTTTCACTTTAAAATTTCATAAAATACTCTGCACTGTCTCTAGACTATTCACACAAAATATGAAGGTTAACTATTTTGTGACTTTGGAAATGTAGAGTACAGCGTACATCATAGAAAGGTTATTAAATACAATTTTAATTCCAGTTAATTAATTCTTTCATTTCTTCTGCAACATTGATCCCGGTTCCAGAAATGTTGTTTTTTGATTATCTGAATGGCATTTTTTGCAGATATTCTGTGACGATGGATCATCTGAAATTCGTATAACAGATACTTTTTGTATTCTAAACATTTGAATGAGAGGAATAATTCTATTTGAAACATCTCGGTTCTAGTCTTCCATTCACATCCTTTTTTTCTACAATTCAAAAGATTCATCTCATTGCATATTTAAAATATTCTTGTCAATTTCTGCGTAATATTGTATGACAGATGACATTTTTTTTCACGTTTAAACTAGTTTGAAATAATAACTACCACAGTAGCCTGTAGAAAGAAGTAAGTGCATCCAAATCTTGTTTGTGTAATTCTACTAGATAGATCAAATGTTCACATAAACCAACCAGTGAGAGCATTTTTGAAGAAAAAATCATATTAATTAATTAGAATAAAAAATTCCAAAGAAATTAAGTGTGAACACTTCTGTTATTTTTGTGGCATGACGAAATGAAGAGAACGTGTCATTAAAGATATGCCTTGTGCTCGTGAGAGAATATTAATTCATTTACAGAGAATAATCAGGATAACTGAACGTACCCAAGCAAAAACGACCCAATTTTTTGGGTTATTTATCTAGATTCAGCTCCACGTACATCTAGATGCACGTGGACCTGAATCTAGATAAATAACCCAAAAAATTGGGTCGTTTTTGCTTGGAATATAAGTAATAACAGAGCGATGTGTTATTGTCAATAGGAATTCCACTAATTTTATAAAGAAATTAGTGTCTGTATGTGGTCTAAATCTCAAAAATTATAACTGTCGTATAAAGAAAAATCATGCTGTTTACTTTCTAAAACAAATAACAAATTATAAAAACATAATTCACTAATTTCTTTTACTATAATAAATATTAGATACCTTTGCGAAAATGTGAAATATAGAAATATTAGATAGATTTATTGGATCCTATGAACTCTATGACTTTGACAAGAATACATAAGTAAATGAAAAATTACAAACTACATTTGTCTTAAATTTTGATAGAAAAATTCTAATCTGTCTTTTTATTAAAATAAAAAGTGTTATTTCATTTTCTTTTATAATTCGTGCATGTGTAAGATTTTTCTTTGAGCCACATAAAAGACGCTCTTCCGTCTACCTTGTTTATCTTTCACTTGACATCGGTCAACTGAAGTGTGTGCGAAAATTTCTACAGGTATGTCCACGATATGTTAGTCGTACATCGAATGAATATAAACTGACGGATATCGCATTCTGTCGAAACTATAGATTTTAGGCATATCATTGTATTGTTTATGTTTAGATAAAAAAATGTCATTTATTCAAAATATAACAGCTGAAAATTCATCATTACCAATATCTCCATCATCGCCGTTAATTAGTATATCACTGTGGCCATTACGCTTCGCCTGTCCTATTCTTTTACTACTTTGTCCAATAACCAATCTACTATGTATTCGAGTGTTTCAAAGTAAAGTATACGAGAAAAGTTCATCAAAATATTATTTTATATGCATTGCTATTTTCGATACCATTTACGTTATGGTAACTGCTCCTTTGCTTTTTCTATTAACGTTGAAGATCTACATATTGAACCAAGCTGTTATCCTTTGTAAACTAATTGTATTTTTCAATTATTTGTCCTGTCAAATATCAGCTGGACTTTTAGCATGTTTATCCATCGATCGATTATTAGCAACATCATTTGTTTCATTGTATAGATATAATTGTTCACCAAATATTTCATTTATTGTTTGTATTCTTGTCATTATTATCATGTCATTAGTAAACAGTCATTATTTAATTGGCTATAATATTGATTCAGTTGGCTTTTGTATAGCAGAACCATTGTGGTATCGAAATATTTATTATCATTTGAATGTTGTTTATCTCTTATCTTATTCAATCATTCCATTTTCTATCATAGCTGTTTGTAATTTATTCATATCAATTAGTGTTTGTAAAACGAAAACAAAGTTACGTCAGAAATATTCAAAAACACTAGATAGTAAAATATTGACTTGCGAAGGTTCATCAACAACGGTATCCCCTGCAACCCATGTTTCCCCAATATGCGATCAAGTGTATATATCATCACCAATTTACAATGACAAAGATGATGAAACAACGTATTTTCTCTTCTTTAAAAGATACTTAAGAAGAGCACCGAACAATAATAATCAAACAAAATCCAAAGCAATGACAATACTTATTCAAGAAAAGAAAGAATTTATCGATAAAATAACAGATACTAATAGTAAGTATTAAGTATTGTATTTACATAACAAAATCGGACTCTCTTTTTCATTATGTCTAGATGACTGGGAGTATTCACCACATCTCACACATAAACAACTATTGGATAGAGCTCAAGACGGTCGAAAATCGACAATTGTGTCAATTGAAGACACCTCAACAATGTCGGCCACCACAACAGCCATGCACGCCGATCACGGTCAGTCATCACCCTTAGAGCAGGCTTCGAATCATTTACCACCACCATTATCATCAAAACGTCATCGTTCTAATTCAATGCGTGGTAGTACCAGTCATTTTACCTTAGCACTCAATGGACCACAGTCAACATCGTCGGCTAAAATGTGTATGCAGCTCCAAATAACCATCAGTCTATTAGCCATAAGCATTTCGTTTATTTTTTGTACATTACCGAACTGTATTTCAACCATTATGATTGAAATATATAAAAACGACAATCATGCAAGAGAATTTTGGCAAGCAATGAATTATTTTTCACTTGTTCCATTGTTAATAACACACAGTGTTAACTTTGCATTTTATTATTTGTCGAGTCATATGTTTCGAGATAGATTTCAAGAATTATATACAAAAAAACTATGGGAAAATTGGTGTTCAATAAAACGTAGAAAGAATTTAAAACAATTTGAAATAGATTCACTGAGAATGTAAGAACATTAATAGTTGTATACAAATAATTGATTTCGTTTTCAAATAAATTTTAATTATGCTTTTGTTACAATACTGACACATAAAATATTGATGAATATATATAATCAGATACTTCTCGCACGAGAGATTAAAGTCATTGGAGGAAAACAAATCTTTTTTTAATTTGTTCTGGATGAAAAATGTTACTATAAACTTTTTTAATTTGTCTTTGAATAAATTAAAATTTTGCTGCACGCTGAGCATTACAGTACAGGAAACGAATGACGAGCGATAGAGAAAATTATAGAGCATTTTATTTAAAAGAACATTCTTTATAACAAAATGTTTTCTCTATCGTTCTTTATTCGTTTCCTGTACTGTAATGCTCAGCGTGCAGCAAAATTTAAAGTTATTCAAAAACAAATTAAAAAGGTTTACAGTAACCATTTTCCAGGACAAGTTAAGCTAAGAATGGAGTAACTAAATTCAAAACAGTAGTCATAGGAATTATGAATGCTGTCTCAGTCTTCTGTCTTTTGTCCATTTCAAATGCGCTATCAACTTGACTAAAAAATTTAAAGTTCGCGCCGGATTGCGGACATTTGTTTTCCCGTATTTAGTATAGTCGATAACCTCGAAAGTTTTCTATTTTTTGCTGCGTTTAGGTGTTGGATTTCTGTGTGTCAAGTATTCTCAGGATCATTCTTTCTTTAATTCTATATAAGTTTTTGTCTTATAAAGTCTAAAGGGTGGGTCAGAATTACTGAAAAGTTCCAGTAGTGATTAGTAATCAATTCGTTTTAGTAATTCTGGCCCACCCTTTATGTTAAATTGCGCCAGTAAGGATATTATGTTCAGTACACTCATTTTCGAAAAAAACTCCAGACTATTGGAAAAAGTACGTTTGTGAATGCCAAAATGGTATGAAGACCTCGTCCGAACTCTACGGAACTTTTTCTTGATCACACAATGAAGAAGTACCCTTTCTTTGGACGGAACTTTGTGTGAACAAGTGCTCCGGAGTTATCATCGAAATACTGATTTCTCCAGTTATACGTAACGAGATACCCTTGTTTAATGAACAGGCGCTTTCTTACGCCTGTACCTATGACTCATTATCGTGCGTAACAAAAAAATATTAACTATCAGTATCTGAATGAAATAATAAGAAATAACGAGTACATGGTGTAACATTTATGCTAGTTTAGGAAGATGAAAGCGCTTGCATACTTTTGCCAACGTCTTTTAAAAATAAAAATGCCTTTGCGTTCAGTACAAATGAATCTCGATTTAACTTTCTTCAAGTCGTCGGATGTATTACATATGATTTGATGTAACCGACGCATTGATTCCGATTATGATTTTAAGTTTTCTTAAAAGGGCTCCTAGCCTGAGAAAAATAGATTTTACGTGAAAAATCAGGCTTTTTGGAAAGTCTACAGCAAAGCTTAGGAACATTTATCCTAATCTATGCTAACTGTATAGATGTGAGATAGGTAGAAGAACATTTTGACAAAATTTGAGTCAGTTTAACCGATAGAGTCCCCCAGACGAACTAGATATGCTTTAATTAAACTGAATAGTAATATTAATTAGTCTAGGCATAAGTGGTAAAAAAAAATAAAGATTATTTTTCTTTGCTTTGTCTTACCAACTTTTTTGCAAGAATTAGTATTTTTATGCATATGAAATACTCGATTTTAGGACTTCTAGGAAAATGCCTTCAACTTTTTGATGCAAGGTCATGCAGAGTTGTGCGAGGTCTAATATTGATCAGAAACGTTTGCTCTACAAATCTGTGTGTTTAGAAAAATTTTAATTGCATACGCATCCACGAAAACGCCATTATTTG